TAGAAAAATGTAGTAAATATAATTAAGCTAAAAGTCTTATGGCCCTATTAAACACCCAGCACAGGGATTCGTTGCTATTTTCAGATCAGTTGTTTAGCAAATCCATTTGCGCTACTTTCTGGACTCATGGGTGTGCCCAGGGCCGGAGTCGGACTCATTTTCAGCCCTGGAGTTTCAAGCCTCAGACCGGCCCACCTCAGTTCACGACTGACTATATTAAAATAAGGTCATTTCCAATTTAGTTTCTAATGACACTATCAGGGCTTTTTCAAGAAAACATCTGCTTTAGAAATTCAAATGTTCAAAAGCCCTAACAGTATTATATGTCTTAACAATAAAAATGAAAAAAAAAAAAATAATAATAATAATAATTTTCCAGGTGAGAATTGAACACGGGTCGACGAGGTCGTAAGGCAACATGTTTACAACTGGTCCACAATGGCGCTATTACAGCAAGCATAAAAGTAATGGATTGTGACCCGCAAGACACGGTATTACTTTCTATTGACGGCTTAATCTTTTTCTCCTCTATTTAGATTACATCATCACTAAGGTTAGTTAACCTGCAGGCTGCATTTTGCTCACGGGGCTGCGCGAAAATAAATCAGAAGAGCGGCGCTGCGGCAAAAAAATGAATAAAAAGAGTGAAGCTATGGTCAAATAAATAAATAGATGAAAAAAGTGCGACTGCTGAGAGTGCAAGCAGCTAGGGACACCGGCCCTCATGGCCAAAAAAAACAGACCGGCCAACCGAGAATTCTCCCGGTGATCCCGATAAGCCAATCCGGGCCTGGGTGTGCCTGTCTAAATAGGTGGTGTGTTAAGGTGCATTGTTGACTAATTGAGGATTTGTAATAGATTGCGCCATTGACCAACTAAAAGCTGGTCTAAATTCTAGAGCGTGTTAGTTATGCACAGAGGATGTACAGCAATACACACATATCTTTACATATGAAAACAATTAAAGAATTAAAAATTATTTTCTAAAAGCCTATACCTCCATGCCTTCTAATTTAGAAACATTTTTTAATTCTTTAATTGTTTTCAGATGTAAAGATATGATTGGTTTAATGCACGTTATGTTCAAAACACACCCAAAAGTCATTAAGAGAATAAGCACAACCCTGTTAGACCATGCGCTGGGGCGCAAACATTATAATAGCAAATTTTGCTCTTAAAATAGCAAAAGGGAATTCGGACATGCCCTTAATGCTTTTGCGCCATGTGCTTTAGACTTTACGGCTAGATCATTAAAATAGATCCCATAGTTATTGGTTTGTTAATTAGCGACAATTGTTCCTTAAAATATCAAAAATCATTATTATTTTTATTTGTAAAATTAAAACAACATATAACACAATATATATATATATATATATATATATATATATATTTTTTTTTTTTTTCTTTTTTTTTTTTTTTTTTTATAAATGTATACAGTTGAAGTCAGAATTATTAGCTCCCCTGAATAATTAGAACCTCTGTTTATTTTTTCCCCAATTTCTGTTTAACAGAGAGCAGATTTATTCAACACAACTCTAAACATAATGGTTTTGATAACTCATTTCTAATAACTAATTTGTTTGACCTTTGCCATGAT